CATAAACATGACACTACCCCCGGGGTTTACACAGACGAGCCGGCGAAGCAAGAAGAGCGCCAGAAGAAAGGGCCCTAGCCGGCGGGGCCCAGCCAGGACAAAAGGAGGTCCCACAAAGCGCCTACACCGGCCGCATTTGCGGTCGGGGTAGACGACGGATGGGGCCCACCTACGAAGGCTGTCCAGGCCTACACGAGATGAGGCAGGATAAAGAGGGATAATCCCCCTCGATCCCAAATCATTGAGGCCAATTTCTAGCCATAGAATAATGGCGCGCATGCGATGTACAACTCATTTTACTAGCACTTGTCAAGTTATTTGACGCTACCTTTGTTTACGACATTTAGTAACCTTTTTTCTGTGAAGTACTCATCGCTCTGCTTTTGTTTTGTGCACAGTATATTGATTAGTATACTGTGGTTTTGTGCTCCATAGTAAATTTGTCAGCGAATTCGGTTGGTTGATTCTTCAGCTTCACATAGATCAAATTTGTAAGGTTTTTGTATAAGTGCTGTGGTTTTTACCGCTATTTTCTTTATTTTTAAGATCTAAAATATGGCAGGCAAACGTAGAAGCAGACACGGGGTAAGTGTTTAAGGTTAAAATTTAATTCTAAGCTGGAATTTGGAAATGTAGTCGTATCAATTTTTTGATTTGTTAATAGTTAAAAGAATTCGTTTGAATGTTTAAATTTATTATTGGTAAAATGTATACAATACGTTAGTTTTACGTTTGACTTAGCAATTTGTACAGTTTAAACGTCCTTTGCGAAATCAGGGCCGGCTCGAGGGGTAGGAAAACATAATTTGTTAATATTGACAGAAAACAAATTACATATTGTATATGTTTTACTACAAAAAGCATAATTTTTATATATTTTGAAATAAATTAAAACATTTTGGTATAGTTTACTGATAAATATGACCATTAGACATACGTGATAAGAGGGACCCTTTAATTGTTGACATAAACTATAATTTTAGGGTAAGTTCTAAGAAAGAGACAATTTGTTGCTTAAACATTTATAAAAGGGTAAAAAAGTGAATAAGTGTTAATAATAACAATGATAAATGCTTCAGAACGTAATGTCAAAATTTGTGGGCAAGCATCAGCCATCACTATGATTTATCTGATAGCACAGCTTAAAAAACAGTGATATGACATAAAAAGAAACTGATGGACATTTCTGACTCATTTGAACGGTAATATTTTACTTTTCTTATTAGTATGAACATTAACATACGTCAGTGATTTTCGAAATTAACATTTTTTCGAGAACGCTTTAATATGTTATTTTACCTTATCATAGATGTTTTATTGCAATTAGATTACATTTTTTTATAATTGTAATTTCAATGGTTACTTGTACTGATAAGATATGAACATATTTAAGTTCAAATCAAATTATACAAATTCATTATAATTTCGCTTGAAAAATTTAAGGGGTTTCTAATAGATATTCAAGTTTTTTTTTTAATAAATCATATAGACATAAGCTTCAAATATTTTTATTTCATTTAAATCATATCAAAAACATTTTGAATAATACTAAAATAGTATAACAAATACAAACTTCTTGAAAAATGCGAGATATTATGGAAGACTTTTTCTTTTTGAAAATTCAACAATTTTTACCTCCTCGACGAAGAATTTTAGAAAAAAAATGTATGGTTTACCCCGTTTGGTTTTGCAGTCTATACTCGTATCCCAAAAAAATTTGTTGATTCATAAGGATATTGTGATTATCTTTCCTAAAAAATTAATAACAATGATACCACCGGTTTTACGATGCTTCAGAAAACTAAACGTCGATATATCCTGCAACTGCAGAAGAACGCCAACCTCCATGTTTTTTAAATGTTAGTAAATCACTTCTAGAGTAGGTAGTAGGGTTGCAAAACTACGGCGGAAGCAATATCCTGTGTATGTATTAGGTTCAAGCAGTTTAAAAAAAGTGACTACTTGGAATTTTGCTAAATACATTTTTTCCGATCGGTAGCACTGAACAGACGATTATGAGGAGTGTGGGTAGGTCTAAGGGAAACATATTTGTTGTATATTGTAAGTAGATTCAATTCAACTGTTTTGTTTGTGACTGTAAACGTTCTTGTAATATTATTTTTTGTTTGTAGGACTGTAACAATCAATATGTCTTCTATTATCTATGTAGTCAAGTTCTCATATTCAACAACTCATTTCGACAACAAGCTCCGTATAGTCCCATAATAAGAGAAATCTATAATGCAATGCAAATAAAAAAAAAACATAAGTAATTCAACTTAGTTTACTTTGATCATTAGCTATTCCGAATCATGTGCTACCTTAAAAAATTTAATACATTGTTCTTGAGTCAAACTTTTAGACTTTAGGCAGGTAATTTGCAGAATTTTGTTTAAAAAATGCTCGAACTTTATGAAAATTAACAAAATTAATATTTTCCTCGACTTTAATGTGCTTTGCAACATTGAAAATTTGAACCATAGTGTACCTGCATTTACAATCTTTGATTTTTCTAATAGATAAGCGATTAGTACATTTTCTGTTATGTTTTTGCTTTTCCAGTAACTGAACAATTCATAATACTTTTCGTACCGTTGTCTCTACCTTTGTAGGTAACAAATTCAGAGAAATATTGCTATTTCCATCTTGCTGCAAGTCCGGTGGAGTATTCGTAAATTCTTCGTCAATGTCTGAGTTGCCATTCATTTTATGATTTATTTTCACATATGCTAGGCGAAAAAATCATTAATGATGATAAAACTATAAGATATCGTTGATAAATATCCAATAATAAAATAATGTGTCAAATTTAAATACAAAGAAAATATTTTTTGTCAGCTGCTTTTTGTATGCAAGATTTTTCCTTTCTTTAGATTAGACGCCTCATATTACATAAATTTGATATAAACGCCACTGGTACAATATTCGATAGCCCTCACAGCCACAAATACAGTTTGTTTCTTACATTAAAAATAATCAGGATTTCCTCATTTTTGCTTCAACTAATCTACTTTCTCCCAAACTATTGGTTTATTAACCTACGCTACCTTGGAACTACTCGTCATAAACGTAAAACAAAGAACGTTTTTAGCATTATTATTGACTAATTTCGCTATTCATCTCATTTATTTCAGTAAATGACAGCTGCTGCAATCTGCAAATTAATTGAAACTAATTTTTTAACCAATTCCCCTAGAATTATTAGTCTTTATGGTAACTTGTCCCTGGTGCCTACAGATTAGTAGGTGGTTTTTGTCAGTAGTTACAAAGTACTATTGTGGGCCAGTAGGCATTGAGTAACATTAACATTTCAGATATAATGTAATTTATAGGTTATATTGTATCCTCGCTCAAAACATGTCGGAAGATCATAAAAAATAACTACATTCATACAATCTTAGGTACTGATGAGAACTAGTGAGCTCGAGACCGATCTGCGTCTATAGTCATTCTACTATGCTGCAACGATTTTAGCTGTTTTCTAGATATTGTCGGTGTCGTTCCACGCTGGGCGAAGCTTTAGTTCGCATAGTTGGTTCCCACAATATAATTAATTTAAGAAACTTACATTGCAATGTTTCATAAATTTTTTCTCTTAGAAGAGTCGTTTTTTCTTCAACCGCTGGAAGAGGGGATCTCAAGCTACTGAGAGAGCTGACAACAGCATTATGGTTTCTGCAAGTACCGCTAGCGAAGACACATTAACAAACAGCAGCAGCTCTTGGATAACGATGAACACCCTACCCAGTTTTGACAGCGACGAACATTCTTCTACTCCTACCCGTACCAGTCCCGTTGAAAATTCAGTAGAAGATGAAAACATTTTGCCTGCGGATCCGCCAAAATCTCTGATAAGTGAGGAAGAAGCTGGAGAAACTGAAATGTTGGAAGTGAATGTTATGCCTAACGAATCAATGTGCACACAGGATTCGATGATGTTCTTCGATATAGTTGAGAAATCCGCACAGCTGCTGAAATCTGGCAGTGCCGGTCAGCTTGTATCGATACTTGGAAGGACCGTCTCCCTCTTTGAAAACAGAGATGCTGAGGAAATGTAAGCAAACCGATAAACGGAAGATCTATATTTCTTCTCTGTTTATATGAAGTAACTACATTAATCATTTTCTGTTTTTAGAGATGCACTGTGCGGAATTATGGACATACTCTTGGAAAATCTGGAAGAAAGCGGTGTAGAATATTTACGTTATTTGAAAACGCACCTAAACGGTGAGAAAATCTATTTGCATGCGCACAACAATACTAAAACTTGTAATTGCAGACGTGACACTACCCAAGGCGGTAAGAAAATTCTACGTTGAGAAAGACATGATACAATGCCATTACGTTCTGCTAGGTAAGTGTCAGTTCAACTCGTTATTAGTCAATAGCCGAGACTATTCACAACAAACCTGCTGTTTTAGGAAATGGCGGGTTCGGTGAAGTGACGAAAGGACACCTAAGTAAACCGGGGGCACCGATCGTAAGTGTCGCAGTAAAACAAGCAAAAAGCGAGCGATTTAACGGTATGTTCCTGGAAGAGGCTAGCGTAATGGCTCAGCTTGATCACGACGTTATTTTGAAACTTCTGGCAGTCACCCACGACAGGGGGATAGTGCAGCTCGCCGTAGAGTTCATGGAGAGCGGGGATCTAGTGGACGCTATAATTATGGTAACAAATCTTTTCTTCGCACGATATTATTCAATGGCGTGGATATGGGAGATGTTTAACGTTTAACTATTTAACTATTCTCGGGAAAGGTATTAATTCTAACACAATTTTTTTTTTGTTAGGAACGCATCCGTCTGAGTACCTCCGACTTGCTCGTGATAATACACGACGTGGCGTCTGGGATGGAATACCTATCCAATAAACAGTACATACATAGAGACCTTAAATGTGCGAACGTGTTTATTAACTCTAAGAAGGAATGTAAAATTGGCGACTTTGGACTGTGCAAGTACGTGGGAGACACTGGGGGAGTCTACCAAGACACGGTAGGTACAACTTTTTATTACCGGGTTTCTTTTTAAAAAATGTAAACCGATAAAGTCGGAAACTAAAATGACAATATAACGAACACGTTTACCATCCTGGCACATCGTACTAGGTGTGAAGACAATCTGTCGTTGTCGTCTCTTAAAGATGTTGCCATTTATCAGTACAGCTGTGGCTAACCTCCATTCCCTTCGGAAGCGTTCGGAACGTGATGGAATTCTGCTTAAATTTAAACTGTGTAGTGACAATAGTATAGTTCAGCTAAACTAGGTTAATGTCAGAGATTGTAGACACTGAAATTCACAAATTAGACATACACTGCTGTAGAAAATTACTTTTTAAATATTTTTTTTTACAAATTTTCGAAGTTGATGTTTTTTCTTATTTTGCAGAAACTGAGATTAAACAGCACACATGTCGCCCCTGAAGCGAAAGCCACGAATCAATTTACCACCAAAAGTGACGTGTGGGCTATGGGCATACTGGTTTGGGAGTTGTATTCGGTAAGAAAAGCGTATTCGAATACCAGGAACATTTTGAAATGCTTGTATGCGACAGAACAGATGTGGAGGGTGTTCCTTTTTCGCGGCCAGTAAGCAATAAAATCCAACGTTTATACTTTTAGTTTTTGTACTTATAAAGCGACTAATTCTATTATGTTGCCTTTTTCAGTTTGCTGCAGGTGCAAGATTGTCCTACCGAGTTACACAACTATTTGGTGAGGGAAGTTTTACATAACGATCCGACGCAACGGCCAAGTTTTGAAAATATAAAGGAAAAGATTATTGAAGTGATCAAAAAGAATCATAACTACGTGGCTTGGCCACAATTAAAAATGTAACAAGTTTTTCAGTTGTTGTCTATAAATGAATTTAAGTTTAGTTTGTGTTCACTTTTTGCAAATAAATGAATATGTGTTCTGATATCTTATTATTTGACAAATTTAAGTTTTGCTCTGTAGAAATATTGTTTATTTGTATTGCCTTATCGTAGTATAATAATTTTCTCTTGTGAACTAGTGAATCTCCACAGAAAAGTTTATAAAGACACGGCAGAGTGAATATAATATTTGCATGAAAATACAATAAACCAAAGTTGTTGCAACCTAAACATCTTCACATCATTAATTTTATTATGCAATATATTCCTCAAACTCCAAAATAAATACAATATTTAAGGTCATATACAAAGACGGAAATTTAAGGTTATGTTCATTTTTAGGTTGTACGAATTTGACGTTTGAGCCGGTCTCAAGTGACGTCATGCGGAGATCGCCTGACGTAAATACCATACCATTTTGTATATATGTCATGAATTAGTATCATCACCATGCTTTCAACTTTTTTGTAGTGGGAGACAGATTTTGAAACGTACGTCAATAGTGATTAAATTTTGACTAATATTAAAATGCCGGGATTGTCAACTTTCACTGATCAAAGGAATTCTTTCGTAAATTTTCTCAGAACCGCTTACAAAGTGCAGGGCTGCGACATCTACAGTATTAATTTGAAATCATGACTGAAAACAGCGCTATCTCTCGGTTGCTTGCTTTTGTCACTGAAAAAGAAATATTCATTCAATTTTTTTTCTTTAACGAATTACAAGTTTTACTTTAGATTCTACTTTTGTTGTATTTCACTTATGCCTGAATAACACAACATTAATTTGCGTATAAACATTGAATATATTTCTATTCAAGCTTACATTTACAAAAACAATAAAATTTTATATCAAGCATAGTTATTTGCAGTAGAAAATGCAGTTGTTAAAAAAAAAAGTGAACTGTTCAATTATCAGATGAAATAGTAGTAGAGATTTGATTTTTATTAATTTGGAAATTTTTATAATTATTAGAAAAATGGTTTTAATGGCTATCATAATGCTTACATAAAGTTACCTACCTCAGTTTTATATAAGTTGGTCATATTTTTAGATAAACTACGATTTTCAAGTGTCTCCTTCAGAAGAGCGCCAGAAGAAAGGGCCCTAGCCGGCGGGGCCCAGCCAGGACAAAAGGAGGTCCCACAAAGCGCCTACACCGGCCGCATTTGCGGTCGAGGTAGACGACGGATGGGGCCCACCTACGAAGGCTGTCCAGGCCTACACGAGATGAGGCAGGATAAAGAGGGATAATCCCCCTCGATTCCAAATCATTGAGGCCAATTTCTAGCCATGGAATAATGGCGCGAAGTGTCTCCTATTGAATGGAAGATTAACCATCTAACTTTTTCTTATCTATATGGTTATATTTTACGGGAATCACAGAACACAACGCTTACGTTTCAGATATTTATTTCAGTTGTATTTGTCATCGGTGTCGGTAGTGTTGCATTTACGACAAAATTTGCTTTATAAAAAGTTGTTTAACGAAAACGAATCTTATGCGTATACTTGTACTTAAATCAACACCTTACATTAAAATAGTTACCTTTTCTTTTTATCGAGTTAGATTTGGAAAATGCCGTCCAAAAATAAGAAAAATTTTTCGGTAAGTAATCGTTTGTCAATATGTTAAGTGACTATTTTTATAACCTGTAATATCTTACGGGAACTATAACGTTTGAGATTTAAAGAATACACGTACATCTTGTTGTGTCGTTTTAATAGAAATGTCCGTTACTGAAATCTGCTAGAAAACATAAACCATACTTAGCCTCAACTCAACATATGGTTCTGCAATAACGAAAGAAATGAAATTTTAACGGTATCTTTTGTATACATCTTACATAAATTGCAAAATCACTAAATTTTGTTGTATATTCTGTACACTAAATGGAGGATATCGGAGATAAATCCAATTTTATTAGAACAATTGCTTGTAGCGTAAACATTTCTCATCGAAAGGTGTTTTTTTTATAGAGAAAGGGTAACAAAAATTATAAACGATGGAGGAGTAACGCAAATAATGTCGCTGTCGACATCAAAGAAGAGACTATGCTTGTCGAAGCACAACAAAATAATAAACAGACCAATAAGAAGTTGAAAAAACGGCCTCTCAAGAAAAATTGTCTTTCCGTCATAGAACAGACTGCTAATAGACTTAAAGAAGATGATGGAGCCCGATTACTTAATATTTTGGAAAAACTATTTGCTGTTGTTGGTGCCGAGCCTAAAAAAAGGTATACTTAACGTGGATATCAGTTTGATTGACGGTGTAGTTTGTCATTTTTTTTTTCTTAATGTTTTGTATTTTTTTCAGGGTTGTTGGACTGGAATTGATAAGTGCTTTACTCTCCAATGTTGACGAATACGATAAAGAAGAGATTGGTAGTCTAAAAGTCAAGTTAAATTGTAAGTATTTTTCTTATGATGGAAGAACTAGCATTATTTTTCAAAATTTCGAAGAATATCAAGGAAAAGAATTGTTATATAAATAGCTTTATTTTTTTAATCATATAACAGACTTGCTTCATAAACTATGCATTAATTTTAAACTTTCCGATAGCATTTAACTCGCTGAAATGAATTTTTCAGTCGTTTAAGGTAATATTTCACGTAAAGCGTTATTTTTACTACCAAAAACTTGGTTTATTAAGTTTTTTTTAATTATTTCTGCCGCCATTTTGATATGTTTAATATACCGTTAATGATAGTTACATTATGTTCCAGCTGTGTTTCTCCCAAAGGAACTGAAAAGACTGATAGTCGATCCCAAGGATTTAAGAGAAGTTTACAATGTATACTCGCTTATACGTAGGTATCTTTCAATCCCAAAATATGTAAATCAACACACTTAGCAAAAAAAATAATAATTTCACGTTTCTCTATACGCTTCGACCTACAACGGCGATCACAAAACTAATGTTCTGTTACAGTGTTTGGAGTTTTACAAGGGAGGACATATTTAAACAAAGATGGGTGCAAAATCGATGTACAAATCAGAGAGGGCCACGGTAGAGGCGACGATGCGAATATCGTACAAGAGGCGAAGCTTCTCTCGCAGTTGTGCCACCAGAACATCATAAAGATACTGGGTTTCGTTAAGGAAGGTCCGAAATTCGCCACGGAATACATGAAATTGGGCGAACTTAGTAGCGCTTTACAGGTACGCTAATTAATAATGTTATTCTTTGAAGCTGGATGTGTAAAAAAATATTTTTTGATGATTTCTAAATGCTCGTATTTTCTAGAAATACGATTTTACCAGCAAGAAACTACTCGGGTTACTGAAGGGCGTAACATCGGCCATGGTGTATATCTCCGAAAGACAGTACGTGCTCAGGAACTTGAGCAGTGAAAATATTCTTCTCGATTCTGGCGGTAATTGTAAAATCGGCAATTTGCGTTACTGTCAGTATGTCAGGGATACCAATGGGATTTACACTGATGAGGTAAGAAAAATGGATATGATGAAAAAAAATCGAATACGGTATTGAGGCAGATATAGAAACTGTTTTGCCCAAAGCACTTGTAAGTGTAGCGCCATCTGTTGGTTTTATGGTTCATTCTATTTATTATTTTCAATATCCGATTGTGTTTTTATTTTCCATTTTTTTATTTCTATTTCTCAGTTACATTTTATTTGTTTTTTATGTAAATGATTGAAATTGTTATTTGTCGAGTCACCATTTTGGGTTAAATGAGAACAATCGTTCGCGGTACTGGGACAGTCTAGTAACTTTACACAGCAAAAGCTCTTGCTGCCTCTAAAGGCTCGAGTGCTAATAATCTGTTGAACCGATAAGCTTAACACCGATTTTATCAACTGACGTAGCGTATCATTTTCAAAGAGGTGTCCTGAACTTGTATAATTATTTTTTAGTCACGGAGGTAGAACATTCGAGTCGTTTGTATTTGAAGTCATCTGTTTTGTTGTACAGAAAAATCCCAAATATTATGTAGAATAAGAATCCGAGTTTTCCTATTCCAAAAGACCATTGCTAAATTCATGGGAACAACAAATATACAAAAAGAACGAAAAATTACCCGTTTTTCGACATATTTTTCCTTGTAACATTAAAAGTAAGCCCTAAATCAAAAAAAGTCATTCCTTATTTTTTATTTATTTAACGATTTTCTATAAAGTTACAGCAACTGTGAATAAAAAAAGTTGAATTTTGCATTAATAATGGGCGAAAAATAGAAAATTGTATGTATATTTGGAGCAATATTTAAAATAAGTAAATATTTATAAATATTGAAACTTTGTGAACAAATAGTAAAACATGTCAATTCTACCCTAAAAATTTTGCAACAATCGATAGTGTGGTTTTCGATTGACAGGATTGTTAATTAAAAAAATTTCAAACAGTTTATCGCATGTCGTGGGTTTAAATGAAGGTTTAGAAAGGGCACATAATTTTTTAGAGATCCTTGTTGTCATAATAAACGATCAATACTAAAAATACCTATTTTTACACTTTCGTAACCATTTACAATTTTTTTTAACTTTTCAACATTTTACGCTATAAACAATTATTGCCCAGGGAATTTTCTATGCAATCGATAAGATCTTGCACACACAACAACTATGTCGTAACCCCTTGCTTTTTAGACATATACGACAGCATTCTACTGTGTAGATATAGAAGAAAATTTTGTTATACTTCAATGAATTAACAGAGAGATCATTGAAATAAGAAAATATATACATTTTTTAATTTAAACATTGAAAAGCGAATTTCATGGAATAATATAACTATTTTTTAAAAGCAAACGAAAGTGGCATAATTCTTTAAACTCAAAATTCATGCAAAAATTATTTGTTTTATTGATTTTTGATGACATATTCGTGTTCCTCTTATTTTGCTATATCAAATTAAAAAAACCCATGGGCTGCGCACCACAGTGCAGATGCTCAGTCATCCCCACTCCCATTCTACCGAGAAATTCCAGTGACCACGGTACCTTTCTTGGTTTTTCTTTCATTAAGTTTTTATCTGCCAAAAATGCACTAAACGGATGTTGAAAGTATTTGTAATTAGCTATAAAAACATTTTTTTTCTCGACTTCACGATTATGTAAGCTATTATTAACTTTACACTTCTATATATCAGATTCTACACGGTAGAATGCTGTTGTATTTGGTTAAAAACCTTTGTGCCTTTTCTAAACCTTCATTTAAACCCACGCCACAGTGGGAAATATTGGAAAAACATTCGAGCCACGCGTCAAAACTAATCAAATAGTACTGATTTTTTTATTCTTTCCGAAGTTACCTGTACTATAAAGTTCCGTCCGGTGAGGTAATTGGAATATGTGCCTAGAATTTTTCAAAATGGCCGAGTAATCTCTAGCCTCAAACTCGATCAAACAAAGTTTGACATATTCGGTATCTAAAAATGAAAAAAAAAGGAAAATTATGTACTAAAGGCTGCCAAACAAAAAAAATCCTTTGTTGAAGAAATTATATTCTGCGGATTTTTAACTTAATTATTTTGGATTTGAGGTTAGGTTTTCAGGTTTCCTGGTCAGCCTCCTATGAATTTAAGTTAAAGTTATGCAAAAATATTTGTTGCACACTCAAAAGTACCATTTTTATGGATTTATACTCGCAGGTTCAGAAAAAATTTAGTATGTACGTTTTAGGTTAAGATTCATGAATTTGAGGTTATGTTTTTTGGTCTAGATTCATGATTTAGGAACATGTTTAAGATTTTTTTTTGTTTGGCAGCCTTTAGTAAATAATTTTCCTTTTTTTTTTCATTTTTAGATACCGAATATGTCAAACTTCTATCAATTCAACTTCAAAAAACTCTAGGCATGTATTCTAATTACCTCATCGGAACTTTACAGTACAGGTAATTTTGGAAAGAATAAAAAAAAATCAGTACTATTTGATTAGTTTTGACGCGTTGCTCGAATTTTTTCCAATATTTCCCATTGTACCACGGTACGATAAACTTTTTAAAATGTTCTTAATTAACAATCCTGTCAAGCGAAAACCAATATAATCGATCATTGCAAAATTTTTAGGGTAGAATTGACATATGTTTTACTGTTTGATCACAAAGTTTCATCAATATTTATAAATATTTACTTTTTACTAATTTCAAAAATTGCTCCAAGTATACATACGATTTTCTACTATTTTTCGCCCATTGTTAATGCAAAGTTCAACTTTTTGATTCGCAGTTGTCGTAACTTTATAGAAAATCTTAAAATAAACAAAAAATAAAGAATGACTTCTTTGGTTTAGGGCTTACTTTCAATGTTACAGGGAAAAATATGTCGAAAAACGGGTCATTCTTTGTTCTTTTTGTATGTTTGTTGTTCCCCTGAATTTGGCAATGGTTTTTTTGAAATGGGTATACTCAGATTTTTGTTCTACATAATATTTGGGATTTTTCTGTACAACAAAATAAATGACTTCAAACAACAAATGGTAATTAAAATGAGTTATTTTTAACAATAGAACCGAACCAAATAAGATTTTTCAAAAGCTTTTTGTGCGTTTAAAATTTAAACTTGTAAAAATTGCAAATGTCTATCGTATACCCGACACTTTTCTATAAATAAGCGATAAAATGCCGACTAAATTTTTTTATAGTGCTTTAAACTTATGAGCAAAAAACATAATCGCCTCTGACGCAAAGGATTAATTTGATTTTACTCTAGGATGACGATTTGATTAGCGATCTCTCGGCACCGGAGGTAAAACAAGAGAATCGATTTTCGGCAAAGTCTGACACATGGGATATGGCTCTGTTGGCGTGCGAAGTTTTCAATGTCAACCCGCAAAAATCACCGTTCGCGAGCATACTTTCTGGATTAATGATTCTGGCCTATATGAAGGCATTTATTTCCGATGATATGTAAGTTTTCAATCTTTTATTAATTTTTTTAATAACCGTAGTTACAACACCGTTAAGCAGAAGGTTTATAGTAGGATCTTTATTTTTTATCAGACCCCTAAACTAAGATTCAGTGCCTTGAAAGACATTCTGCAAAGGGNACCACACATAAACATGACACTACCCCCGGGGTTTACACAGACGAGCCGGCGAAGCAAGAAGAGCGCCAGAAGAAAGGGCCCTAGCCGGCGGGGCCCAGCCAGGACAAAAGGAGGTCCCACAAAGCGCCTACACCGGCCGCATTTGCGGTCGGGGTAGACGACGGATGGGGCCCACCTACGAAGGCTGTCCAGGCCTACACGAGATGAGGCAGGATAAAGAGGGATAATCCCCCTCGATTCCAAATCATTGAGGCCAATTTCTAGCCATGGAATAATGGCGCGAAGTGTCTCCTATTGAATGGAAGATTAACCATCTAACTTTTTCTTATCTATATGGTTATATTTTACGGGAATCACAGAACACAACGCTTACGTTTCAGATATTTATTTCAGTTGTATTTGTCATCGGTGTCGGTAGTGTTGCATTTACGACAAAATTTGCTTTATAAAAAGTTGTTTAACGAAAACGAATCTTATGCGTATACTTGTACTTAAATCAACACCTTACATTAAAATAGTTACCTTTTCTTTTTATCGAGTTAGATTTGGAAAATGCCGTCCAAAAATAAGAAAAATTTTTCGGTAAGTAATCGTTTGTCAATATGTTAAGTGACTATTTTTATAACCTGTAATATCTTACGGGAACTATAACGTTTGAGATTTAAAGAATACACGTACATCTTGTTGTGTCGTTTTAATAGAAATGTCCGTTACTGAAATCTGCTAGAAAACATAAACCATACTTAGCCTCAACTCAACATATGGTTCTGCAATAACGAAAGAAATGAAATTTTAACGGTATCTTTTGTATACATCTTACATAAATTGCAAAATCACTAAATTTTGTTGTATATTCTGTACACTAAATGGAGGATATCGGAGATAAATCCAATTTTATTAGAACAATTGCTTGTAGCGTAAACATTTCTCATCGAAAGGTGTTTTTTTTATAGAGAAAGGGTAACAAAAATTATAAACGATGGAGGAGTAACGCAAATAATGTCGCTGTCGACATCAAAGAAGAGACTATGCTTGTCGAAGCACAACAAAATAATAAACAGACCAATAAGAAGTTGAAAAAACGGCCTCTCAAGAAAAATTGTCTTTCCGTCATAGAACAGACTGCTAATAGACTTAAAGAAGATGATGGAGCCCGATTACTTAATATTTTGGAAAAACTATTTGCTGTTGTTGGTGGCGAACCTAAAAAAAGGTATACCTATGTGGAAATCAGTTTGCTTGACGGTGTAGTTTGTCATTTTTTTTCCTTAATGTTGTGTATTTTTTTTTTTCAGGGTTGTTGGACTGGAATTGATAAGTGCTTTACTTTCCAATGTTGACGAATACGATAAAGAAGAGATTGGTAGTCTAAACGTCAAGTTAAATTGTAAGTATTTTTCTTATGATGGCAATGTACGCGATTTTCTAAATGTTTCAAGTTAGTTATTTTTTTTCAAAAATTGTCAGAACTAGCATTATTTTTCAAATTTTCGAAGAATATCAAGGAAAAGAATTGTTATATAAATAGCTTTATTTTTTTATCAATATAACGGACTTGCTTCATAAACTATGCATTAATTTTAAACTTTCCGTTAGCATTTAACTCGCTGAAATTAATTTTTCAGTCGTTTAAGGCAATATTTCGCGAAAAGCGTTATTTTTATTACCAAAAACTTGTTTATTAAGTTTTTTTTTTAATTGTTCCTGCTTCCATTTTGATATTTTTAATATACCGTTAACGATAGTTACATTATTGTTCCAGCTGTGTTTCTCCCAAAGGAACTGAAAAGACTGATAGTCGATCCCAAGGATTTAAGAGAAGTCTATAATGTGTACTCGCTTATACGTAGGTATCTTTCAAACTCAAAATATGTAAATCAACACACTTAGAAAAAAAATTACAATTTCACGTTTCTCTACAAGCTTCGACCTACAACGGCGATCACGAAACTAATGTTCTGTTACAGTGTTTGGAGTTTTACAAGGGAGGACATATTTAAACAAAGATGGGCGCAAAATCGATGTACAAATCAGAGAGGGCCACGGTAGAGGCGACGATGCGAATATCGTACAAGAGGCGAAGCTTCTCTCGCAGTTGTGCCACCAGAACATCATAAAGATACTGGGTTTCGTTAAGGAAGGTCCGAAATTCGCCACGGAATACATGAAATTAGGCGAACTTAGTAGCGCTTTACAGGTACGCTAATTAATAATGTTATTCTTTGAAGCTGGATGTGTAAAAAAATATTTTTTGATGATTTCTAAATGTTCGTATTTTCTAGAAATACGATTTTACCAGCAAGAAACTACTCGGGTTACTGAAGGGCGTAACATCGGCCATGGTGTATATCTCCGAAAGACAGTACGTGCTCAGGAACTTGAGCAGTGAAAATATTCTTCTCGATTCTGGCGGTAATTGTAAAATCGGCAATTTGCGTTACTGTCAGTATGTCAGGGATACCAATGGGATTTACACTGATGAGGTAAGAAAAATGGATATGACGAAAAAAAATCGAATACGGTATTGAGGCAGATATAGAAACTGTTTTGCCCAAAGCACTTGTAAGTGTAGCGCCATCTGTTGGTTTTATGGTTCATTCTATTTATTATTTTCAATATCCGATTGTGTTTTTATTTTCCATTTTTTTATTTCTATTTCTCAGTTACATTTTATTTGTTTTTTATGTAAATGATTAAAATTGTTATTTGTCGAGTCACCATTTTGGGTTAAATGAGAACAGTCGTTCGCGGTACTGGGACGGTCTAGTAACTTTACACAGCAAAAGCTCTTGCTGCCTCTAAAGGCTCGAAAGCGGCATAATTCTTTAAACTCAAAATTCGTGCAAAAATTATTTATTTTATTGATTTTTGATGACATATTCGTGTTCCTCTTATTTTGCTATATCAAATTAAAAAAACCCATGGGCTGCGCACCACAGTGCAGATGCTCAGTCATCCCCACTCCCATTCTACCGAGAAATTCCAGTGACCACGGTACCTTTCTTGGTTTTTCTTTCATTAAGTTTTTATCTGCCAAAAATGCACTAAACGGATGTTGAAAGTATTTGTAATTAGCTATAAAAACATTTTTTTTCTCGACTTCACGATTATGTAAGGCTATTATTAACTTTACACTTATATATATCAGAATCTACACGGTAGAATGCTGTTGTATTTGGTTAAAAACCTTTGTGCCTTTTCTAAACCTTCATTTAAACCCACGCCACAGTGGGAAATATTGGAAAAACATTCGAGCCACGCGTCAAAACTAATCAAATAGTACTGATTTTTTTATTCTTTCCGAAGTTACCTGTACTATAAAGTTCCGTCCGGTGAGGTAATTGGAATATGTGCCTAGAATTTTTCAAAATGGCCGAGTAATCTCTAGCCTCAAACTCGATCAAACAAAGTTTGACATATTCGGTATCTAAAAATGAAAAAAAAAGGAAAATTATGTACTAAAGGCTGCCAAACAAAAAAAATCCTTTGTTGAAGAAATTATATTGTTTCTGCGGATTTTTAACTTAATTATTTTGGATTTGAGGTTAGGTTTTCAGGTTTCCTGGTCAGCCTCCTATGAATTTGAGTTAAAGTTATGCAAAAATATTTGTTGCACACTCAAAAGTACCATTTTTATGGATTTATACTCGCAGGTTCAGAAAAAATTTAGTATGTACGTTTTAGGTTAAGATTCATGAATTTGAGGTTATGTTTTTTGGTCTAGATTCATGATTTAGGAACATGTTTAATGTTTATGATTTTTTTTTTGTTTGGCAGCCTTTAGTAAATAATTTTCCTTTTTTTTTTTCATTTTTAGATACCGAATATCAATTCTTCAACTTCTATCAATTCAACTTCAAAAAATTCTAGGCATATATTCCAATTACCTCACCGGAACTTTACAGTACAGGTAATTTCGGAAAGAATAAAAAAAAATCAGTACTATTTGATTAGTTTTGACGCGTTGCTCGAATTTTTTCCAATATTTCCCATTGTACCACGGTACGATAAACTTTTTAAAATGTTCTTAATTAACAATCCTGTCAAGCGAAAACCAATATAATCGATCATTGCAAAATTTTTAGGGTAGAATTGACATATGTTTTACTGTTTGATCACAAAGTTTCATCAATATTTATAAATATTTACTTTTTACTAATTTCAAAAATTGCTCCAAGTATACATACGATTTTCTACTATTTTTCGCCCATTGTTAATGCAAAGTTCAACTTTTTGATTCGCAGTTGTCGTAACTTTATAGAAAATCTTAAAATAAACAAAAAATAAAGAATGACTTCTTTGGTTTAGGGCTTACTTTCAATGTTACAGGGAAAAATATGTCGAAAAACGGGTCATTCTTTGTTCTTTTTGTATGTTTGTTGTTCCCCTGAATTTGGCAATGGTTTTTTTGAAATGGGTATACTCAGATTTTTGTTCTACATAATATTTGGGATTTTTCTGTACAACAAAATAAATGACTTCAAACAACAAATGGTAATTAAAATGAGTTATTTTTAACAATAGAACCGAACCAAATAAGATTTTTCAAAAGCTTTTTGTGCGTTTAAAATTTAAACTTGTAAAAATTGCAAATGTCTATCGTATACCCGACACTTTTCTATAAATAAGCGATAAAATGCCGACTAAATTTTTTTATAGTGCTTTAAACTTATGAGCAAAAAACATAATCGCCTCTGACGCAAAGGATTAATTTGATTTTACTCTAGGATGACGATTTGATTAGCGATCTCTCGGCACCGGAGGTAAAACAAGAGAATCGATTTTCGGCAAAGTCTGACACATGGGATATGGCTCTGTTGGCGTGCGAAGTTTTCAATGTCAACCCGCAAAAATCACCGTTCGCGAGCATACTTTCTGGATTAATGATTCTGGCCTATATGAAGGCATTTATTTCCGATGATATGTAAGTTTTCAATCTTTTATTAATTTTTTTAATAACCGTAGTTACAACACCGTTAAGCAGAAGGTTTATAGTAGGATCTTTATTTTTTATCAGACCCCTAAACTAAGATTCAGTGCCTTGAAAGACATTCTGCAAAGGGTGTATGTGCAAGAACGAGCACTTAAAAGATGGCTTACGTGTTAAAACATGTAGATTATTTTTTTTGTTTTAGGCTTTCTGTACCTTCCAAATGTCCAAGTCCCCTGTGGCATTACTTCAGAACGAGGCTTCTCGATGAAGATCCGAATGAACGTCCAACGTTTCCCGAAATTATGGAAGAGTTACAGAAATACGACAACTGGAAATTCGATTAGGATGTTATCATATTTTTTTTATTAAGTTTAAACCGTATTATGTTTGTTTAGTTAAGTTCACATCTATATATGTTCCTTATTAAATATCCAAGCAGCACAGTGTATAGTTATTTGAATATAAAACTTTTTTAAATCATTTGATTTCTGATTTGCGTAAAGAAATGTTTGTATTTGGACCCACTGGTATACGCTAGCGCAAAAATCGGCCCTACGTCGAATTTTATGGCCTAAATTTGTGTGTTTGTAGATGTCGAGTGTCATATTGTTTATAACAAAAGAAAAATAATAATTTTTTTCTTTTGTTGTAAACAATGTGACGCTCGACCTCTACAAATACACATATCTAGGCTTTTAATCTACGTATTTTTTACTTAATTTTAAGCCCATCAAATTCGACGTAGACCCGATTTTTGAAACAGGCATGTGTTTGGTCTAATTCGCCCAGATTAAAAACCATATGCAAATGGCTTTGTTATTTTGTTTTTGGTACGTTTCCTTATTATTGGTTGTTTAATAATAGAAATAATTTGCAGCTTATATAATATAAGAGAGACCCCTCCCCTCGAGCCGGCGAAGCAAGAAGAGCGCCAGAAGAAAGGGCCCAGCCAGGACAAAAGAAGGTCCCACAAAGCGCCTACACCGGCCGAATTTGCGGTCGGGGTAGACGACGGATGGGGCCCACCTACGAAGGCTCCAGGCCTACACGAGATGAGGCAGGATAAAGAGGGATAATCCCCCTCGATCCCAAATCATTGAGGCCAATTTCTAGCCTTGGAATAAAAAAAAAAGTCGTGGTTTGTTTCATATCATGGTTTTCAGCACAAAACATAAACTGTTTTAGCACTGCTACAGAACAAATAATTAAATACCTATCTTTCTGTAATTGCATGATGAAAAAAGGTCTTTGCAGGACTTTATACTCAATGTTTTTCGCTAGAAGAAAATGACGTCATCAGTACATCATATCGTGGCTCACTAAACATTTTTGTGTCCCATTCAGAGGAAGAGTGAATTTGCAAGAATAAATTCCAGTACTTGAAGTGCTGTTTGGATCATTTACCCATGATATGAATATTAACATCTATTTTGTGATTGACATGGTAAATAAACGATATTTGTTTTAACATTTAAGGTTATGTCTTCCAAAAACTAATAGTGTTGTTAGATGACGTCACAAAAAGTGTAAATGTAGTTTTTGGTAACACTTCAGATATTTGTGATTGTTATGATAATGGAAATTAAAATTTTGTTGCTTATTTTTGTAAAATTTAACGATAAAGGTTAATTGACGATTTTGGTGACCTTTATCGACATCTTTTGGCTACGCTACAAAGCTCAACCCTTACTTGAGCTTTGAGCCCCGTGTTCATTCTTTTCCTAGAGGTCTGTGGTTCAGTTCTTACATCTTGTTAAATATATCGATAATATCGAAGATCCGAAGATATTTTACCAATCACGCAATTTGATAGTGGACTTTCAGTGTTCTTTTTAGCAGGTTCTGAGTTTTGATGGTATTATAATTCCCATTTTTCAGCAATGGTAAGCTTTTTTCTGCGTTATTAAGTATACATATATGCATCTGTTTTAAGCTTTTAAATTCGCACAAAAATTTCCCGTTCTCCTTGAGCAAATTTACAAATGTATAAAGCTGAGACATTTTCATTATTGATAACAGTGTTCGAATAATGAATTGGAGAATTTGCTAGTCCCGTAAATTAATGAAATATTTTAGGCTGATTCTGAGAGACGAAGCCCAACCCCCTCAACTTCTGAAATAAAAACGTCGAATGAAGACGACAAAAGCTTTCAACCCCCGTCAAACGACAAAAAAGAGCCGACGACCATCGCCAAGGACCCCAAAGAAGACTGTACTGATGTGCTTGCATTTTTGGGTAAAGTATCTTCTGGTTCTCCAATTCGCCGCAATAATTTAAATTAAGCTTTTTTCCATACACTTCGACACAGTAGTTATTTTTTATTCTAGCTTGAAGCTTTTCGCAACCGAGTATCAAACGAGTGTTTTTTAAAACTGTTGAAAAATTAGTCAAAAATTCCCTATTTAATTCTTTATTTACAGCTTTAAATTTAAACATTTTTAAAGAACATTTCATTAGTTGTCAACTAATTGTAAAAGCTGCCCCTTTGAAAACTGCCACAAAAATGTGTCTTGTGTCTTGCTATTAGGAATTTTAATGACAATCCTGCGAGCCCATGATTAAATACAGGGTGGTCCCGAGGTAATGGGCCAAAATTCATGGGTAGATATACCCGAAGCAAAAATATTGCGATTTAGCCGAACTTACCTTAGTCCAAAAATTGATAGTTAAAAAGATACAGAGTGTTAAATATAAAATATTATTTTAGTTTATTTCCATTTATTTCTTAATAAATGCAAATATCTACACAAAATTTTGGAGTTTGGGGTTCCTTGGATAAAGGAATTGAAATTTGTTCACAATTTGGTTATAGTTCATAGAGGGCGCCATCTGCCGTAGATTGAATGTGTTGGAAACGACATAACTTTTTTGTACTTTAAGGTATCAAATTCTTATATTTCAACTTTTTTTACACAAAAGAGGTAGACTTTATTAAAGTAGCTGTCGTGTACCGTTTCCGAGATATTTGGCTTTGAAACTTCCAATGCTAATAATTAAAATAATTTAGAAATGTCGGTAATGAACAGTAAAATAGTAAACATTAGTAAAAAATATGCCTTTTTGACAATAATTGCTCAAAATGTCCACCTCTAACTTCAATACATTTATCAACACGTTTATTAAAAGATTGTCTTATTTTAAAGTATAAATCCTTAATGCGAAATGACTTTGCTGCATTTAAAACCTGCTGCTAAAGTTCTTCTCAAGTGTTTATAGTTTCTCCATACACAACTGATTTCATGTAACTCCAAAAACAAAAATCTCAGCATTCTATCTCACATATCTATCTCTATCTATCTCTTGTATACGAGTATACAATTTAAATTGTAACCTAAGATGTAATTTTAATTAGAGACGAATAATAATTAATAGAAATAGCATACAAATGACAGCAATAAGACAAGTGGAAGACGTCAATTATTTGATTTTTGTCCAAATCCTACTTAAGAAACTTTACCGCTAAATTAATAATACCTGTAGGTACTTAATTGTAATTTAATACAACAGCATTGGAAGTTTCATAGCCAAATATCTCGAAAACGGTGCGAGATAGCTACTTTAATAGAGTATACCTTTTTTGTGTAAAAAAAGTTGAAAAATATGAATTTGTTACCAAAGATGACATAAGTACAAAAAAGTTATGTCGTTTTTAACACATTCAATTCACTGCAGCTAGCGCCCTCTATGAACTCTAACCAAAATGTGAACAGATTTCAATTCCTCTACTCAAGGAACTCCAATCTCCAAAATTTTGTGAGGATATTTGCATTTGTTAAAGAACAAATTAAAAAAAAACTGAAACAATATTTTACAATTAACACCCCGTATCTCTTTAACTATCAACTTTTGGACTAAGGTAAGATCGGCTAAATCACAATATTTTTGTTTGGGGAATCTACCCATGAATTTTGGGCCATTACCTCGCGATCACCCTGTATATCGTGATTAGAGATATGTCGTCATCAGGGACTTTTTGTATAAATGTTCCGATCTCTACTTTTGTCAAAATCTTAATCTTCTTTCAGTAATTTTTAATCAATTTATTTTACGAAAAAAAAAATCATTTGCAGGTTTTGGGAAATTCAGCGGCGGAGCATATTACAACAAATACGGACACAAAGTCGAAGCAGAAATCCGAGAGAGCTGTGGTAGCGACGACGATTTGAAAATTATACAAGAAGCCAAACTCCTCTCTCAGTTGGATCATGAAAATATCATAAAGATACTGGCCTTCGATAAAACGGGGCCGAGATTCGCTATGGAGAGTACGACGCTGGGTAATATAAATTTGGCTCTGGAGGTACGTTAGCGTTAAAATTTCGTATTACGATCTATTTCTTTGTGACTATTTTTGTTCCGAGATGTAAAAAAAAACGCATTTTCTAGACGTATAATTTTACCAGCAAGAGTATACTCAGCTTGCTGAAATGCGTGACTTCCGCCATGGTGTATATCTCGCAAAGACAATACGTACTCAGGAATTTAAGGAGCGAAAATATCTATCTCAGCTCACCCAGCAACTGCAAGATCGGCAACTTTCGTTATTGTCAGTATGTGGGGGACACCGATGGAATTTACGTAGATCAGGTAACGAAAATGGGTATATTAACTTTTTTTTTGCACTAGAAAACCACTGTTTATGATAATAAAAAGTCCTTTGGCCCATATTACAATCGTGCTAACCCCGAGCCTGAACTATGACATGCATTGTTGTCAAATCTCTTTTAACTCAGAAATTTAACGATGAGGATGCACAAACACGTCAATCCAAAAAACTAATAATCCATGCAGAAACACCTTGTAGACCGTTAACATTGGCTAGATCATTGACATTGAGGCTCTCGAATTAAATACACGTTCAAAAATTGTAACAAACTTTTGCTATGGTTTGTTACATTTTAAAATTATAACCATTATGTCATGCTTTCATTTAGATGAAAAATAAGAATATGTGTCAATTATGAGAGTATGAAACCTGTAATATAATCTTTAAACTGATTTATTTCTGTATGTCAACAAGAGGTGGCGAACCATGGTCCGTCGGTAATACAAGGCACTTAGCGGCCTATATTATGCGTTGTTCTAGGGTCGAGAAGCAGGTTGTGTTCTCAGTCGCACTAAATGACGTCACAACGCGTTCTTGATCACATGACAAAATGTGTTAGTTTACACACTTGTTTTATAAGCTTCTCGGTTAAATAATATTTATGTGTTGTGTCTTTTTTCTCGATACTTTAAACTTACGAGAGAAAATATAATTGACTTGCGTCTAAATCTGATGCTTTGGTATATATATTTTTTTTAATTCTAGGACGGCGCTTTGGTTTGGGAGTACTCGGCGCCCGAGGTGAAGAAAGAAAAACGATTTTCGACAAAATCGGACGTGTGGGACTTGGCCCTGTTGGGATGCGAACTGTACAATGTGGACCCCGAAATAGCGTCGAGGTTTGCCATGCCCCCTGGATCTACCCGACGACTCTTTCTGGACAGGTTTATGTTCGAGGTTGATATGTGAGTTTTTTTTAATAACTTATGAAAAGAACGTATTGGTCCATATTTCGTTTATATATTTATTATTTTAGGCCTCCTCTACCTCTGAAGTGCCCCTTTCCGTTGTGGTATTATCTCGAAAATATTACGGATCATGATCCCAATGAGCGTCCGCCGTTTCCGGAAATCTTGCAGGAATTACGGGAGTACGACGATTGGCAAATCAGTTAGGATGTTCCCACATTTTTATATTTAAGCGTAAATATTGTGTTTGTCTAGTTTAGATTTTGTAACGTTAATAACCATTTCAGTTTCTATTAAATGACTTCAGCAGTACAATGTCTTTGTTATTCCGATATTTTTTTGCTTTAATGTTTTTTAAATTCAACACTTGATGTCTAACAGTGATAAAAAAAATATGAACCTCTATAAAAATAACAAACATTAACGAAATGTTTTTGATTGCCTGTGAACAAAAGTTTAAGGGTGAAGTGGTCCGTTCAAATCAGAAAGTATTCATTTGGTATCAGTACTTTAAAGAGTATTTTCTATCTTGTTTTAAAGGAATTCTAATGCAAACTAAAGAAAAAAAATTCTAAGAAATCTTATCAGGTGAAGTTAAACAATGATCTCAGATACCAGAAATCTACAGACAAGATTCCTAACTGTCTTATTGTCTTTGCAGCCGAGTATTTGTTATTTGCCAGTAAGTATGCTAATAAATTTGCAGATTGTAGATGACGATAGCAAAACATGGATTTTTTTGTATAAATTACTTCCAAGCGATTTAAATTTACCGCCCCATTTATTTGTGTATGTCAACAAGAGATGGCGACACGTGGTACGTCGGTAAGATTGTTTACGCTATTCGAGGAAAACGAATAAGGCTAATAACTTCAACCGGTTATGATAAATTTGCAAAATAGAATTACATATAAAATTATGATTCATAACTTCAGATATTAGCAATTATCCTTTCATAAATTAAAAAATTAGTTCAAAAGATACCGTCTGCAAAAAAAATTTTCAAATAGTATGGATGTAATTAATTGTATTTTAGATATTGTAGGAACTCGTTTTCAACTGTTTTATGTTTTTACTTTAATAATCCGGGCGAATTAGACCAAACACATGCCTGTTTCAAAACCGGTTTCAGCGGGCCTAACTCGAATTTTATGGGCTTAAAATTAAGTAAAAAATTCACAGAATAAAAGCCTAAATTTGTATATTTGTAGAGGTCGATCGTCAGATTGTTTATAACAAACTTTTTTCAGTGTTTCGCTTATATCTCCGAAAATAAGCCTCTAATCGACATGAGGTATACTTATCGATTTTGATCCTGAGAAAATTTACTATAAGGATAGGCTTTTGCAAAAGCTCACAAATTCTTTTTTACATTGCAAAATTAGCGGTGAAGGAAAAAATGTGCACAAACGAATTTGCCTGAAATTGGATGAAACTACAGGAAAAGGTAACTGGTGGGGGGCTCAACAAATACCCGCAATCCGGACCCCCGATTTCAAAATGGCGGCCTACCTACTGCAAGTCGAAAATGCGAGCGCGTATATCTTCTGTCCAAGTCAACATATTGAAATTCGGTAAAAAAAAGATAGAAAGGTAATTGTCTCGCGTTTACCCAAATTTCCGATTTTTAAGTTGAAAAATACAAAAATTTATTAACAAAAACCAAAAAAAAAACGGTAATTAGGGTCCTTATCTCGGCAATTTTTTAATATACAGATTTCAAACCAATTACATCAAATAGTGCTTAAAAAACATGAATTTAATAAAAAAAAAGTGTCTCGATCCGTCCAATAGGAGCAGAGAAATGTTTTTTTCTTAAAAAGAGAAATAATTGACTTTTGTTTTTAAATACATAAAAAGACCTTACTTTTCAAAATATCGAAAGCATAATGAAACAGCAAAAGAAAACGTGTAGTCAATAAAAATTTATTTTTCGGTGTCTGACGACGACTTTCACAGATTTTGCTTACACAATTCGAAAGAGCGGAAACAAATAAGCTGATTTAAAAAAAGCAACCCGGTAGCTGCTTTCTAAGTGCCACAATCCATTTGTTAAGAGTAAGAATTTTGAGAAGCCGACCGCAGCATGGGCACCATGACGTCACAGCGCTCCGCTCTCCTGGCTGCCGCTCAGCAGTGGCGGCTCGTGACATTGAGAATAGGCGAAGCATATTCATTGATTGGCAAAAATGGGAAATTCAATTTTCTACAAATTTTTTCCTATGAACTATAGCGAAATTTTGCTTTGTTTTCGAGCTACAAATAAAAAACTGAAAGGGGTGCATTTTCACCCCTATCTCCAATTTCCACCCTCTAATTTAATAGCACTCCACAGTTTTTTCATTTAAAATGACCATTTGACCGATTCATGTAATAAAATTGCTTCAATTTCTGCATCACTCGGTCCCCCAATGCCGTAGTTTAATCACACGTTGGCCGCTTCGTTGCCATGACAACCGCCGTAAACAACGCTACGTAGAGAAGCAGAATACAGAACTTGCGTGTACTACACGTTGTATGGTCCGAGGTTGATGTTCGTGCTCAACGAAGGCAATATTTTTTTAGAAGGCGTTCACCGCGCAACTATTCTGTTTATTTCTGCCTATTAAGCAAACAAACACAATACATAAGGCAATCTTCTATAAATAAATAAAGTATTAAATAGAAAAGCCAAAATACCGTTTAAAAAAAAAATTTCTCGGCTCCTATTGGTCGGATCGAGACGCTTTTTTTTAACTTAATTGTAAGGAAAACTGCAATATTCAATATTATTACAACGACTTTATTTTAGTTGACGAGTACACTTCGCTGGCTAGTTTAAATCTGATGTCTTAAAAACTTCCCTAAGCCTATATATCTCTATACATATCTATCAACACAATTTATCAAGGGCTTTGAGTGTTTATTTGTTTTCGTTGGCCCTACGGCGACGTTCCCTCGCCTGCGTTGCATGTCTGGGTGCTGACATAATTCATGTTTTTTTATGTAATTGGTTTGAAATCTATATATTAAAAAACCGCCGAGTTGCCGTTTTTTTTTTGGCTTTTTGTTAATAACTTTATTATTTTGCAACTTAAAAGTCTGAAATTTACGCAAACGAGAGATTTTACTTTTACGAGAGATAATTACCTTTTGATCTTTTTTTACCGAATTTCGATATCTTGACCTGAGCAGAAGACATACGCGCTTGCATTTTCGACTTTATAATTTTGCCATTTTGAAATTGGGGGACCGGATTGCGGGTATTTGTTGAGCACCCCAACAGTTTATCTTTTCCTGTAGTTCCATCTAATTTCAGTCAAGTTCGTTATTTCTATTTAATGCTGAAAATTTAGCAAATTTTTTTTCACCGCTAATTTTGCAATGTAAAAAAAATTTTGCGAGCTTTCACAAATGCCTACTCTTGTAGCAAATTTCGTCAAGAACAAAATCGATAAGTATACCTCATGTCGATTAGGCACTTATTTTCGGAGATATAAATTAAAAACTGAAATTATTTTTTTCTTTTATTATAAACAATATGACGATCGACCTCTACAAATACACAAATTTAGGCTTTTATTCAGTGTATTTTTTACTTAATTTTAAGCCCACAAAATTCGAGGTTGGCCCGATTTTTGAAAAAAACATTCAACAACATTCATGGTACATATAATTGTGTCAGGAAACACAATTTCAAAAAAAAGCTACTTCCAAAATCAAATATTTTCACAAATAAATAATATGTATAGAGAGTATCTCTGTATATTTTTTAAACTGTCAGAATTGAAAAATGCCAAAATCGACGGTTTTGCCGAATTTTTCACAATTTCTGAAATGTCAAAAACCAGTTGAGATGTCACAGGCTCGAATTTTTATGAAAGTTTAATGCAGACAACTAATCTCAGTATTTTGATTTATTTAAGAGATACCGGGTTATCTCCATTTTTGACCATTATTGAATTCTGTAAAATATCCTTTCAAATATTATATCGTAGTCCTTTGTTAACTTAAATGGAACACCTTATATTTTTTTTTACTTTGTCGTACGCAGATTGAAATTTCCTTTCAAGCCATATAATCATTGTTAGGGTTGCCGTTACTACTTTTAGAGATATTTGCAATTTTCTATTTTCTGGACAGTTATTCTCGTATTAAATCTGTTGTCAAATTGGCCAAGACCAGAAACACTTGAAAACAAAAACAATTGAAATAACATGACATTTGTCAAGTTGTTGTGAAATTATTGTTGTATCTAAATACTAGTTTTTGCTGAAAATATAAATAAAAATGCCTGGGGATCGTTTAAATTATACTATTATTATAACTATTATTTTAATTTGTTTGTTATGTATGGAAAATGTGACAAAATAATTTTAAGAATATGTAGAGAATCCGCTGCTTTTTTTTCTACAGTCAAAGCTAATGACAGGAAAAACTATTGACAGTTATAAACATTTCTTTTGTTTCTCTGCCATATCAATGCCTCCCTAGGATATTTTCATAAAAAATAAAGGAATTGCTAAAAATACCGTAAAATATGAGGACCTTATTAACAAAAACCAA